GGCCAGTCCCACCCAGCTGGCCTGCAGCTGCACACTAGATTCCCCTCCCCTCCCACACCAACAGTCCCATCTTCAGACAGACAACCTAGCCAGTCCCAAGCAGCGCTGGCCAGGACCACGGGGCCGAGGCCAGGGTTAGCCTGTAGCTGCCACGCCTAAGTGGGTCGAGCGGAGGGGGAGGGAGTCTGTCCGTCAGCGAGCTACTGCAAGAGGAGGGGAGGGGGAGGGGCAGCAATGGCTAGTCACTGCTTCCTTGGCGGGCTGACCCTGACCATGGATTTACACGGGGTCCCCAGGGGACCCAGGAACCACAAGCCAGCACCTGCTTTGGACCCTCCCCTCCTGGGATGCATCAACGCCCAGGACAGGCCACTGACCTGCTCAGCGGGAGCAACGCCAACGGGCCACGTCCGAGTCCCAGGGAAAGGAGTTTAGGCAACAGCGGTTTGCAGGCTGATTGGCCAGTGCACCGGGCACAATTCACTAGGTCCCAGAACCCTTCAAGACAGGTACAGCCTGCAGGGGCCCGAGGCCCCTAGCGCATGCAGGAGCAGCGCCGGGCAGTTGAGCAGACAGGCAGCCAGCAGCGAGGGATACCCGCTAAGCCAGCTGTAGGCCCTAGCGCCGCGGTCGTTCTCACCGCTCTGCACTGGCGCTACCCAAGCCGCCGTTCACAGGGTGCTGCTGGGCCATTCATTTCAGCACAAGTGCAGCTTTGTTTGGTGTCTGTCCTGCCTAGGCAGGGGAGTCTGGGCCGCCCAGTGCCCCCCTAGCACCGCACTTCCCAGCCTCTGGCCCACAGATGGCCGACCCCCACTCCACAGACCCTGCTCTAGTAGAACTGGTTCAGTGACAAGCGGCAACTGACAGTAGGCTGGGGGCGAGCTGCCCTCAGAACAAGCTACGGACTGAGGAGCCAGGCACTTTAGCAACCAGGGAGGAGGAGGAGGAAGTGGGATTCCAATCGCGTCTAAACGCAGCCTAGGAATCTTCTCCATGACCATGCTAGATTAACACCTGGGGGTTTACATTTGACCTCACTGCTCAACTAGGAACGTGGTTAAGAGTCTGGCCCAAGGTCGGGGCTCTGGGCGTTTCCAGGGCTTGCTGTCAGTTGCCGTGTGCACAGCTCCTGGTCCCCCTCTCCATTCCAGCACCAATCAGCTCTCAGAGCAGACGCTCTGGGGCAGCTTTATTACGAGTCCAGTCATCAGAGGAGACAGGTTTGGCTGATCAGCCTCGAGCAACGTAACCCAAATGCAGGTAATTACGAATCTTTTATTCATTCGACAGACCCTCCTAGCACATTTTCTTCATGTAGCAATGCAAACAAGCTACTAAAAGCAACAGCTACGACTACAGAAAAGAATTAAACAGATCACTAGACTCCAGGACTTGTTAGAATACTTGTTCAATTGTCTCTCGACCGACTGAGGGTCGCCAGCAAACACGAAAATGCCATTCTAAGAAATCACAAGCTCACTTTTTCCTGAAGTTAAAAAAATTCTTCCAAGTCTCCTCTACAGGCTTCCCCAGGCTGACACCAATCTGCTGTCCCTTTACGGTCACAAGCAGACACTCAATAAGGAGAGAATCTCTGTTTCTCCGCTTTCAGTTTGTTAGTAACACATGGCATAGCCGAGGTGGTGGAGGTACCCTTAGCAGCAGACACAACATTTAGAGCCAGGAGAGGGACGGGTTTCATGCCAAGCAGACTGGAGACACAAGGGGCGGTCGGAAGAGGGTTGGGGAGGCTGGAGGGTGCGTCGGAGACCCCTGCTGTCGCAAGCGAGGGGGTGGTGGTGGAGGAGGAAGAAGAAGAAGGGGTGGAGGGTTGAGAGAGGTTGATGCTGAGGTGATCGGGGATCGTGACGGAGGCTGTCTGGGAGGAGGGTTTAGCGCTTTCTAAACTGTAACAGAGGAAAAAGGAACAAAAAAAGGGTGGGTGGATGGGAACACCACAAAAAAGCACAGGAGACAAACAGCTTAAATAGCATGAGTCTAGCCTGGAAACAAGTAACTGAGGAGCCCAGTTTGGCTGTCTTATGCTGTACTCGAAAGCCCGAGAGAGAGAGAGACCACGCACGAACAAGTGCAGCAGAAAGGTCAACTGGTTTAAACGGAAAGATGCAGAGCCAACCCTGCACACTGAAATCGCTTCCCACGATAACAAAGCTCGCTCTAGTTCAGCCAGTAATTGGTTTGATGCAGTATCGGTGAGAAAAAGCCTATGGCCCATCCTATGCAAGCAGTTCGGTGCTTTTGGCCTAATGCTAGCCTTTCAATCGCTAACACGTGGACAGATGTAGCTTCTAGAAGTTAAGATGTGGAGTCCTTGTCTACTAAGGCTTCCTCAGAAGTACTTGGAAAACCTGCTAGTAAGCCTACAATCACAGGTTTACACGTGGTTTGAAATGCAGTACACCATTCAAAGGCACCATCATTTTAAGCAAATTGGAACCCCAACAGAATAGCCCTCAAGGCATTTTTAGTTGACCGTGAGCACCAGAAAAGCTAGCAATCAAGTCAGGTTTCCTTTCCCATTAGCCCAGTGGCACTCAATCCCAGCTGTAACTGGCCTGGCATCAACATTAAGCATAGCCCCTTTAAAAGCGAACGTTCAGCTGCCACCGATCAATTCCAACATGACCTACAGAAAGAGTGAGGGGAGGAAGTTACAGGAGTTGCAGCAAAGCCAGTTTTGCTGCACTGGATTCAGGGGGTATGAATCTGACTGTTCACACACAGCAAGGTTCTCTGAAGCTCTGTAACACAGCAGGCTCGCCGCCAAGACTTACTCCCACGAGACAGACAAAACCCACCTATTTCCACTCAAACGCAAAGAAAGCGCTTTGCCAGAGAGCCAGCGGATGCCTGCCCCCAAGGCACAGGCCAGGCCAGGCCAGGCCACCCGCGCACAAAGACTCCGTTCCTGACACCCCAGTCTCACCTACATTCAGAGCCCCGTTTGCTAACTGGCTGACCTGCATTGCCAGAGTGGCTACCCATCTGGACACCAGGCCAATCCAGCCCTGGGCCAGCTCCCAAGCCATGTCAGTTCACACCCGTGTTCCCTGAGGCATCTGAAAGGGTTTCCCAACTGACTGCTAGCGGGTGTCGCCAGCCTGGACCTGCGCACACCAGTCCCTGCTGAAGTCTGGGATGTCACTAGTATGCAGGGGACACTGGGAAACTTAAGCCCTGGGGCTTTGCTCGCAAGCAAACAGCCACAGGAGCCAACTGATGTAAAGCAGCAGCCGCCAACACCCCTCCCCCCCAAAGGGAAGGCATGGCAGGGCAGGGCCCCGCTCAAAGCAGGGTCTGAAAGCCTAGCTTCTACAGGAGGGACCCTAGTCTGCTACCAGCCGGGCCCCGTGTTGTGTACCCCGACGAGCCGAGGCCAGAGCTCTGTCGTGCTGGGCTGGGAGCCGGCCCTGCATCGCTAGGAAGCCTAGGCTGGAGCCCGGCTCAGCCCGCAGCGTAATACGGCTGCAGCAGGCTGCATGGGGGAGGGGAAATCTAGGCCACGCATGCCCAGCTGCTCTGCCCCCAGTTTTTCATTAGGGAAGCCTGAGGTCTCCATTAAGTGGAGGCTGCTTTTTACTTCAGTCTCATGAGATCATTGCTGGGCTGGAGAGCTGCAGTGGGCCCAGTGCCAGCTCAGCCTGCTGAAGCCTGCAGTGGCTGCATGCTGCAGTGGGTGCTGCCAGCCAACAGCCGCAGCCTGACGCTACTGGGGCCACAGATGGCAGCTCAGGGACACGGGGCTAGCGCCCAGGAGCCAGGGCGGTTGGGCCTGGGCAGTGATTGGAAGCTGCAGCAGAGCCGTAGGGATGGCGCCTCCTTGTCCTTGCCCTTTCAAGCGGCTAGCCAAGCACGGCCGCTAGCCAGCGTGTGCTGAGAGCAGATTGCCAGGGCGGGATGGAGCCCAGCACACCGGCACAATACAACGGAGGACCAGGCTAATCACTTTCTATCCCTGCCACAGGAGAAGAGGCAGCATCTTCCTGCATGTCCAGCTACCTGGCGCACCCCTAACCCTAGGGCAGGCTGGCTTGGAGGGAAGGAGTAATCCCCTCAACCCGCCTCGTGGCACAAAACCCGCAGAGCTGACAATTCTTTAATCCAGCTTGGCTAAAGCTGCCCTAACCCCTCCACCGTCTAGGAGGTTTCGTCGCAGGAAGCAGAAGAGCTGGATTTTCCAGCAGCTACGGGGCGGAGGAAACCGTGCACCAGACAAGCCAGCAGAGTGCCTGATTCACTTACACCCCTCCTTGTATTGCAGCAGGGCTGCTCCAGAGAGCTGCAGTCAGCCAGCTGGGCAAAGGAGATACTGACCTCGCCCTACAATACCTTAGTCATGCTGCTCCACCGCCCCCCCTTTGCATGCACTCGCCTGCCAGCAAGACTCACCTGACATTAATTAGATACTGGGCCAGGCTAATGCTGGCTGCAGATCCAGTTATGGTAACCTGCCTGTCAGTAGATCCTTCCACTGGATTGGCAATTTTGATCTGCGCCCCAGACATCTGGCGGATCTCATTGATTTTGGCGCCTTGACGCCCGATGATGCAGCCAATCAGCTACGAGAGAAAGTGTTTCCCGTTAGATCAGCTGAGGATGAGGTTTAGCGTCCCTATTTCTTCAGTACCAGGGCTGAGAACCCCCCCCCCCCCCGACTGCCACAGACAGCGAAGCGAAGTCCCTCATCCCCATATCAGGAACCCCAACTGCCAGGCTCCTGCTTTCGCTACCTGCTATGAGAATGACGACAGTTACCTGTGGCTTGTCAAGCTCCCCAGCCTGTTAGCAGTGAAGTTACCACAAGTGTTGGGAGTCTTGCAGCCAAAGGCTGTTTAATAGCACCCCTGCTTTGGAGAAGGAAGTCCAGCAGCTCCAGAAGTTACACCCTGCTCTTGCAGGGTAACACGCTCCACTGGCCGCTGTCTCCAGCATGCACCACCCTGCCCAGCTCCCCCATTCCGGGTTGCCGTACAGAAGGGGTGCTAGACCCCTCCAAGGTGCAGGCAAGGGACACCAGGCGACCCCGAGACGCGGGGCAGAAGCGGTATCAGCCGTGTCTCTAGACACGATGCCGCCTGCATCAGCGAGGCCTGGGACGTCAGGGCCTGCTCGTTTTGTTTGTGGGTTTGGACAGCCGGCCAGGGCAAGCGCTAAGACCTGCACAGCCAGGCACACGCCCCCCTCAGTGGGCGATTCTGCCAGGGCACTCCAGGGAAGGGAAGGGATTGGATTTGCTTTCCCATCCCAGCACGAGCCTGGCCAGCTGGGGCTCTTCCAGGAGGCTGCCTGCAGGGCACTTACATCATTTGGAATGGTGAGTTCGTGAGAAGTGGTTTGAGCAGATGCATCCAAACCTGCTGAAAGACAGGAAGAGACCGGGCCCAGGTTACTACAGGGCAGGGGGCGTCTGGGTGCAGATCAGACACCTGACCAGTCCAGCCAGCATTTGCGGCTGAGTCATTGCTCCCCTGAAGGCAGTTTAACAGGAAGGGAAGAACAAGCTGTAAGAAGTTACCCCGCCCCCGCCCGAGACGTGCCACCACAGATCTTCCTTCCGGCCAGTACAGTCACAGCAGCACAAGCACCACATCGGCTCCACTGTCACGTGGCTCCCGTGCCGGCTGGGGCCAGACCTCCCTCCCTGGCCAGCTCTCCCCCGAACAGCACAGCAGGGCCACACTCCAGATCGCTGGGGAGTAGGGCCTGGGGGACAAACGGGGCAGGGCACACCCATGCCCCATCTTGCCCCCAGTGTGGCTCAACAGACTCCCCCCCCCCCCCCCTGCTCCCACAGG